ATGTTCGAGGCGTGGAAAACTAATCGAAATGATTGTTCCAGCACTTCTCCCGTTGGGGCCACCAGTCGGATGCCAATTCCGGAGCATTGTTTGGACGAGGATCCGTCAACGCATAAGGACTAGGTCGAGTTCGGATCCTGGTCTGGTATGCCTCATGTGTGGGAGCTCGATTTAGAAATCTGCTAGTACTTGCGATTTCGCACAGGTGTTTGCACGATATTCAATGTCGTACTCACTCAGCTCGATTGCCCATTTTGCAATCTTCCTGACTGGTTGGGGCTGTGAAAAATCGTGCGGAGAGGGAAAGAAGTGGGTACGACGATAGTGTGAGATTGGAAATACGGCCTTCATTTTCTCGCTGACATTACCACCGCTAATGCCACTTTTTCCATCATTGGGTATCGCGTTTCTGCATCTAGCAATGTTTTACTTACGTAAAAAAATTGGTTTTGCTCGTCGCGTTCTTCCTGGATGAGGACGCCGCTTATGGCCGTTATTGACACTGTGATGTAGAGGAATAGTGGTTCCCCTTCTACCGGTTTCACGAGTACTGGCGGAGTAGCTAAGTAATGCTTTAGCTGTTGGAAACCTTTCTCGCATTCCTCGGACCACTCTAACTTCTTGTTTCCCTTCAAAGTATCGTAGAAAGGAAGACATTTATCCGTAGTTTGCGTGATGAAGCGGTTAAGTGCCGCGACTCTACTGGTCAGTCTTTGTACTTTGCGTTTTGTCCTAGGGGAGACCAATTCTAGTACCGCGGTGATTTGTTTCGTGTTGGCCTCAAATCCTCGGTAGGTAACGAGGTATCCCAAGAATTATCTGGATGCGACAGCAAATCGGCACTTGGCAGGATTTAGCTTCATGTTGTGTAAATTGAGCCTCTCGATACATTCTTGGAGGTGCGCAACATGATCTTGCTCTTTGAGCGATTTTACGAGCATATCGTCGATGTACACTTCCATCGTTTTTCTAAGTTGTTTGAAGAACATGCGATTAACAAGTCATTGATAAGTTGCGACGGAATTCTTAAGGCCGAACGGCATTACTTTATAGCAGTAAGTTCTGTGATCTCTATGAATGCGGTTTTTACTCGATCGTCAGGGTTTATCATGATCTGATTGTACCCGGAAAAAGCGTCCATAAAAGATATGAGTTTGTTCCCTGTCGTTGCCTCAACCAAGCGGTCGATGTGTGGCAATGGTAGCTATCTTTAGGACACGTTTTATTAAGGTCGGTGAAATCGACGCAGACTCGCCACTTCACGTTCTTTTTCTTGACAACGACAGGATTTGCAAGCCACTTGGGATATCTAACTTCCGTTATGGATCAGACCTTGAGGAGTCTGTCAACCTCATTGTTGACTGCTTTGGCGCGTTCTGGTCTCAGCTTCCATCTCTTCTGTTTGACGGGTTTTGACGTTGGGTCAACATTGAGTTCGTGACAGGTGATGTTTATGTCGATTCCAGGCATGTCTTCTGCGGTCCATACGAACGTGTTCGAGTTCCTTTTCAGACAAGCGAAGAGCTCGAATTTTAAGGTTTGCACCAATTTTGACGCAGTGTTCTGGGAACGCTTCGTCAATGCATACTGAGACGACAGGTTCACAGGTAGTTTCACGCTTCCCTTCCAGTATTTCGGCTGCTCGCGATTGCCAAAATATTTCGGTTTTATCTTGTTCTGGGGCGTTTTCGAGGGCAGACGGTTTCTTTTTCTTTTTGGAGCGAGCGTCGGCCGAAAGGGGTTTTTTCGTTTTAAATTCGCGGCGTAGCAGACATGCGAGATTTTCCGATTTCCCCAGATGATCTCGATTCCGCGCGGGGTTGGGAATTTGAGACACATATGATACGTCGATGGTACCGCTTGCATCAAGTTTAAGCACAGTGTTCCTATGATTACGTTGTAGGAAGTGGGTCGGTCAATGACTAGGAATTCGACGATTTTGACCATGCTTCCGGCTTGAACCGTAAGGTTAATTATGCCGAGGGTCATGGTGATTTCTCCTGAGATTCCTACTAGCGGGCTTGAGTTTTCCGCGATTTCGGATGGATCGATTTCCATATTCCAGGGTGTTTTTGAAGATGATATCAGCCGAGCTTCCGATATCGACTAATATCCTTGCGACATCCATATTCTCGATTGTCAGATCGATGACAAGGAGGTTGTTAAGGGGTTTGATCGAGATGACCGTTGCTCTGTCCTTGAACGGGATGACATCGCCGTTCGAGTTAGACATATCGGTTTTCGTTCATTCAGTGATTATTGTGTAAGAGAATCTGAACACCCCTCCTTCTAGCGCCAAAATGTGGGAACCAAAATTCACACTGTTAATTTTACATCAAATTTACTAACCACTTCCGTAGAAATGTAGACAAATAGAAGGCTTGCACTTTAAAATATTTCGTATCAGAGTTTGCAATCTTTTGTATGCGCTCATATTGTTTTTAATAAGTTTTTTGCTGCATTGAACTTTTTTCTTTTCAATTGTTATTTTCTAAATTTTTCTGAGTCAAGAAGAAAAAAGAGGAATTGATATGTACTTTCCACTTTTCTTTACAATCAGTCACCACCTCCGGCGGTGCCTCGAAAGCTTAGAAAACAAGCATAAGACTTTTAAAATACGGGTTCTTCGTCAATAACAACTCGCAATAAACGTGGGGAAAGGGGGGAGGATTTATGTGGGAACCGAAATTCACACTGTCAATTTTCCGTTAAATATGGAAACTTAGGGAAAACCCTAATTTTCCCGAGGTTCTGGATCTCAGCGGAGAACCATTTAAAATGAAAAAGATAAGAGAATACAAATGAAGAATTTGCGCAAAGGCTATTATTGATAAAGATATTAAAAGCTGTTACAAAGAAAATCGCGGAACTAAGACAACCAAACGTTGTAAGAATCCAACTTGCTAGTCTAGCCACCTAAGTCCTAAATTCTCCTAAGCTAACAACAGTCTTTCTAGGTCTAAAATGCTCTGCCTCCTCTTGATTACTACCTCATGCTTATATACTCATTCTCTAGGTGGTTGGTCTTTCCTTTTCCGCTGAGGTTCGCTTTCGTCGAAAATCTTCCAATTCTCTCAATCTTTCCATTTTTCTTCAGAAAATTTCTATTTTCATCTTCAAACTTGAGTTTTACCTATTCCTGCGAGTGATGAGTAAACCATTATCGTATATTTGGGCTGGATCTTGTCTAACGTCGCGAGTGGGCTTTTATCGCGTTTTTGGACTTTTCAAGACATTTTGCGATTTAGTAGTTTTACGAGTTTAGAGGAGATTGTTTCTTGATACGATGTCGTTTTTTAATAAACATCTCGAGTTAATCGTATAGTCTGGCAATGTTCAGTGTTCCGTTTAACCATTTCCACTTTATACGATTTACTCGAACTTTTCCGAGAAAACAAGTCTTTAGCGGTTTTTATAAAAAATCTTGAGTTAATCGTATTTTTGGCAATGTTTGGTGTTTTGTTTAACCGTTGCCGTTTTATACAATTTACTCGAGGTTTTACGTGAAAACACGTCTTTTACGGTTTTTTATAAAAAAATCTCGAGTTAATCGTATTTTTGGCAATGTTCGGTGTTTCGTTTAACCGTTTCCATTTTATACGATTTAATCTAGGTTTTACTAGAAAATACGTCTTTTATGGTTTTATCGTAAAACTCGAACGGTAAGGCGGATCAAGACGAAACGAGAGATGCTACGATCACAGTTCACAGTACAACTGAATCAAGGGGCTTGGATGGTTTAGTTCAGCTCGCCAACAGGCGAGAAGGTCTAGCAAGGCCAACTCGCCTGTTGGCGAGCTAGAGAAGGATATTCAGCTCGCCAACAGGCGAGCTGGTCGGGCATGGCCAGCACGCCTGGTGGTGGGCTGGACAAGGATGTTCAGCTCGCCAACATGGTAGCTGGCGGGAAAGGCCAGCTCGCCTGTTGGCGAGCTGGAAAAGGTTGTTCATCTCGCCAACAGGGGAGCTGGTCGGGCAGGGCCAGCTCACCTGTTGGTGAGCTGAACAGTGGTGTTTAGCTCGCCACCAGGCGAGCTGGTCAAGCATTGCAGCTCGCCTCTTGGCGAGCTGGATGGTTGTTCGGTTTGGAGTGTTTTCTCGTTTTTCTTTACCTGAGATCCGTTCGAAGAATGTAAGGAGAAGTAATCCTATACTTTGATTTCAAGATTACCGTTTTTGACCCCAACAATTTACCTCCCAAATGAATCAACTTCATATTTGGAGGTTCCAAATTATGACGAGATTCAATAAACTCCGTACAAACCTACTAAAGAATAGTTGTAAACTGGGGGAAAATCATATTTCAGTTTGAATAATTTAGATCATGCTAAATACGATCCAATCATCATTAAAATTCAATAAACCTACCCAAACTCATAAACTTACTCAAGAAAAGACCTTGACTAACACATGGCTAGACAACGGGAAAATATATGGCCTAATCGTTACGTTTACATACAAACGTTTCGATCGGGAAAATAAAACGACCTCGTTTTACTTATTAACACAAAACAGTGTTTTTCGATCAGGATTTAATTCAAAACGTCTGTCCTCTACCTCAATATTTCTCGATAGAAAGCTAAGAACCCTAAAACTCAGAGACATGAAGAACTCAAGTTTGTGTTACAGTAAGTCATAATCATATGTATGTATTCTTATAATTGTCTGATTTTATGTTATTATGCATTGATGAACTAGAATGTTGTCTAATTGTCTAGAAATTTTGGACTGAAGAAATGGGAGATCCAGGAAGAGGTATTCCTAAGAGATGCAGATGTGGAGAAACTGTGGTACGGAAGACAGAAAAACACAGTTAGAAATCATGGACGATTGTTTATTTTCTGCTCATGGGAGAGAAGGGGTGAGTTATAAAAATCATGGTCATAGGTTGTTTTTATCGGGTTTTGTACGGGAGTTTAGTACTTAGATAGTTTTCTTTTCTTAATTTGACAGGACTGGTTTCACACGTTTAAATGGATTGATGGTAGTGTTTATAACATATGGAAGATATGATTCGAGAAGTTGAAACAATTGATGGTGATTCTGTGTCATTGCAAAAACGACTTAATAAATGTGAAAATGAGATGGAAAATCTGGAAATGGAGACCTATGTGTGTGAAGATGTGGTTGAGAAGGAGATCCAAGAATGCAAAATGCAGCTCGGAGCATGAAGAATATTCTCGGGTTTTTGTTGGTGATGATTCTGTTTTTCAAGTTTATTTTCTAAGTATGAGTATTGTGTTGTGTTTAAGTTACGAATGTTGTTTGTAATTGTAGTAATAACTATTGGTGTGTCTTAATGGTATTTGTATTTCTAGTAAAACTAATGATGTATTTGTAGTTTTTCTCGTAAAACTGATTATGTGGTCCCTATTAATGGTGTTTGCGCTTGAACATAAGAAACATTAAGTTATATCAACACCCTCATACCAAGTCGAAACCAAGCATTTGGAGTAAATAACTTTCTTGGAAATATTCATAAAAAACAACAAATGACAACCAAACGAGAAACATGTTCATGGCTAATGTTTCACTCCTCCACCAAAAAACCAACTAAATGAAGCTGCCAAAACCCGTGTTCAAGAAACTCCATGCTTCCACCATAAACCAAAGGTTGAGATTCATGACTATATTGAAAACCACCTAAATGAAGTTGAAGAGAAAGTGGATACAAAACATCAAGTTGCATAATAAAGTTGAGTCTCAATACATGAAACTAGTCTTGTGCTTCTTGTGTTGCTTGGCTTGGTCCCTCTCCAAAATCCAAATTTCTTGTGTCTCGTGCATCTTTTCCTGTCATTGTTATTCTCTTCCTTTGTGTCCTATGCATTAGCACACCTATGTTTGAGCACATCGTGACATTGTGGCCAGCAATCCCACATGTACCACAATGCATAGTCTTTTTCTCCCTACTCACCTTCCTTTTCTTAGTTGGTGATTCATTCTTTCCTTTTTTCCTCTTTTGTTTTGGCTTTCTTCTCTTCCTATTCTTAGTTTGATCCACCAAGCTTGGTGGTGGAATAATGATACACCTTATTATTTACCAGTTTTAGGCCATGTTATGGATCTCATTTGGACTCAATTATGTGTGTCTAGGCTGTGTTTTTAAGTATTTACAGTTTTAGGTTCATATTGGAGTTATGTGGAGTATATGGTGCATTTTGGATGAAGAAACCCGTAGCTGACAAGAATAAGTTAAGCGAGAATTGACATAAGAGATGAACAGCGATCGACAGACACACACTAGCATCAATCGATGGTCACCGCGCACAAACACAACTTTGTTCAGAACCGACTTAAAGCCCCAAAGTTCACACATAATTATAAGATTACTCCTGACGAGTTTTTACCTAGTTTATAATGGTTTCTGCCACTGTTAGGCAGAGAACCACGCTTTTGTTTTCTGATGTACCATGGTTTTGACCTGTTTTTGCCATGGTATATTGGCGTTTTACTACTATTTACTATAATATAGAAGCTTTTAAGCATATTTATGAGTTCATGAGTATTTTGGAAGAAATAGATGTTTTTGGAGCATTTTGGAGAAAATCGGAAGAAGCGCTCGATTTGAATTCGATCACGAGGTCGACACAGAGAGACTCGGATCGATCGACATACACAATGCATGATCGATCGATTATCAAGACCCAGAAGCCAATTCGAGAGACAAGTTGACTTGAAGTCCAATCATCACCAAATGAAAATTTTACCCCTAACAAGTTTTAACCTAAGTTTATGTACTCTGCTAAAGTGTTAGAGGCAAGAGGGAGAGTTTTATTATATTCTTTTCACAGCAAAGTTTTAGGGTTTTTATTTTTTGGAGAGAAGATCATCATAGAGATTTGAGATTGGAACTTCATTGTTTTCTACCTATCTATTTATTTATAATATTCATTTTTATTTATCTATTTTTGTTATGAACTACTTCGCTATGTCTGAGTAGTCTACTTGTTAGATTTAGGGTATAAATAGGTTAGAGGGATTAGCCCCAACTATAGGATTGCTAGTTGTGATACTTATTAATAGGATGTTCTTAACGCTCATGGTTCTAGAGTAGCTAACTAGAAACATTGAATCCCGGATTACTTAGGTTAGATTAGAGATATTTAAGCAATCCTAATAGTCCTGAACACATTCCTATTAAGCTAAGAATTGTGGGAACCAAAATTCTCCAACTGTCAAGAAATCGTAAATAAGGGAACTTTGAGTAAACCCTAAGTTCCCAGAGGACCAGGCTATCTGCGGAACCGCACAAGAACAATTAATAAAACGATGAATGCGAAATCAAAGTATAAATAAACGAGATTAAGAGCATAAAGTATCTTATTCCGAATCTACGTAAGAACGGTTACAACGAGATTGGCCTTAGGTGCGTGAGCCGTTGACGAAATCCCTAACTCTAGCGATCTAAGACCGAAAACCCTAGTTGAGACGCAGCTCGATAACAAAAACGGAAATATTCCTAAATGCTAAGTTTGGTGGTGAAAGCTCTGAAAACTCGTCCTCTGCTTCTGCCCTATGCCTCTTGCTTATATACTTCCTTCCTTGGCGGTTTGGTCCTTCCATTTCGCCCAGATTCGAGTTTATCGAGAATCTTCCTTTTGTGTTTATCTTTCCTTTTGTCCCGCGAAAATCTTCTTTTTATCTTCAAACTTGACATTTATCTTCCTTCTACGGGTAAATCATCAAAACGTTGTCATATCTTTGGGTCAGATTTCGTTTAGATCTCGAGATGGGCTTTTATCACGTTTTAGGACCTTTCGAGCTGTTTTGCGATAAATCCATTTTGCGACTTTATACGAGATCGTTTCCAGATCCGATGCTGTTTCGGTTAATCGTTGCCGTTTTTACGATTCACTCTATGTTTTTAATAAAAAACGCGTTTTACGATTTTTACGAAAAATCTCGAATAAATCGTATAATTTAGGCAATTTTCGATGCTTCGTTTAACCATTGCCGTTTTATACGATTTCCTCGAGTTCTTTCGAGAAGAAAAGTTTTACGGTTTTTATCGTAAAACTCGAATGGTAGAAAGGATCGAGACAAAACGGGAGATATTTCGACCGTGGTTCGGGACATGATCGTGGCGAAGGACGTAAGCCTTGAATCGGGGATGTGGGAGATCGAGGCTCGGGATGATCTGCTCAACGTACGACAAGCCAAAACGGGCCGGTTCATCTCGGCGTACGGCGAGCTACCCGAGAAGCATCTAGCTCGCTGTACGGCGAGCTACTTGGGACGGGGAAAGATCGCAGTACGGCGAGCTAGTCTTGCTCGAACTAGCTTGCCGTACGGCGAGCTAAGTCGAGGCCACTTAGCTCGCTGTACGGCGAGCTCGTTCGGCCGAACTAGCTCGTGATTTACGGTGGTTGCGGTTTTTCCGGTTTTGTGCTTAACTCGGACGATCGTATAATCGATGTTTGTTTCGTTCTTATGAGATGAAAATTTCCAAGTCTTTCCGCAGATTCCTTTTGTTCAGAAACTTCTTTTATAAAACGATTTCTCGAGTTTTATAAAACGATTTCTCGAGTCTTATAAATCGATTTCTCAAATTTTATGAAACGATTTCTCAAGTTTTATAATACGATTTCTCAAGTTTTATAAAACGATTTCTCAAGTTTTATAAAACGATTTCTCGAGTTTTATAAATCGATTTCTCGGGCTTTATAAAATATATATTTTTTATATTTTTGCATAAAGTTTTGACTATTGATTCCGTCGTAGCGATTTTGTCAACAGTTAGCCCCCCAGCTCGTAAGAATCGTGGAGTTCTTGCGAGCGTATAGAACTTGTTCGGCAAGTTTGGTAGAATTAGGCGGAACTTTATTGGCCAAAAGTCCAAAGGTGAATAGTAAACTTTTTTTTTCTATACGTATATGGAGTAAATTTTTGAAGTCTTTACTCATTCTCCATAACTTATCTAAGAAATTTTCTCTTTACTTCCTTTGAATTTATTTCCCTCATAGTTGCCAAACATGTTTTCAAATAGGAGAACTCGTTCCTCAACCTGTTCCGATTGTCGCAGCTCCGAGGGAACGAGCTCACAACCTTGAGTTATGGCGCCGAAAGAGGAGTCCTTGTTTCCATTGATCTATCCAAGAGACCACGGGGCGTATTGGGCGCTAGAGGACAAAGTCAGGGTCCGCTAGACCTTGGACATGGGTTCCAGCTTTGTTCGATGCCAATCGAGCTCCCGGATGCCCGAGTTCAGCTCCACTTAAAGGTCTTGAATCCATGCAGGAGTTTTGCCGAGTCCCATAAGCAGTCGAGTTTCGCCTCCCGCTTGCCGGGGAGAGTGATAAGGCTGCGCTCGATGGCTTTTTTTACGTGCTACAACGTATTTTTGTGGCAATGTCATTTATGGTTTCCGATCCCAGAGATCATCGTTCGATATCTTCATTGGCTGGGAATATCGATCAGCCAGTTGACTCTGCGAAGCTTACAACAACTCGTCCGTCTCTCGACGCTGAGCTACGAGCGGGGAGTGACCCTTAGTGTTGACCATCTCGAGGGTTTACTGAGACCCGAAGAGAAGACGCAAAGGATCAATTTATGCCCCCGTGCAGAAATTGTTACTGGTTGCTCGTCGATCTATCCTTCTTGGAAGAAAATTTCTTCTACGTTCGTATTGACAGCGCGTCAGTCGACGAGGACTGCATCCCATTCTTCGCGACCACGTGTGGTCGGAAAGTTATGTGATTCGAGTGCATACGAATTACCCCCTTCTCTTTTTTTTTTGCTTATTCGCTTTCGTTTTCCATAGAGACCAACCCTTTACCTCTGATCCGGCGGATCTTCCGATTATTACTTCCTCACTTCAACGCGGGGAAGTTGGCTGGGGCAGTTTCTCTCCGCAGCGTGTTGGCCGTGTGGTTGCTCTCTTCCGATCTCGCCTTTTTGCGGATTCTCCGATTCAGCAAGAGGATTCTTTCATAGGAGAATTTGTCCCGTACGTGACTTCGATGAGGAGGGGCAAGTCAAGATCTCGGAAAGATAAACACTTGGTCGTTGAAGATGACGCATCCGACCGTACTGCCTCTCCCGAGAATATTCTCAAGGACTTTCTTGACAGTCAGGTGGAAGAAGGCGTTTGCACGAATGCGGGCGGATCGTCGACCTCCAATTTTCCTGGTAGCGATCCTGATCATGTTCCGGAGTTTGCCAGAGGGTC